CCAAGGACGAACGTACCCATAATTTTATATGATAAATCAAATGATCAAAACCCGAAAACAAGTAATTAAAACAGAAAAAACGACAAATACCAAGATTATGAATTGATTGGCAGAGAATCGAGAAATACAAGAAAACAAATCAATGGAATTGGCGAAGTAGAGCGTCAAGTGAGGAAGAAAATGTGGAAGAAATCTCTGGCAACTTATGAGAGAGATAATATTGACGAAAGAGAGGCGGGTAACGTGGCTGAGTGGGCTAAGTTGAGTTATGGTAATTACGAATTGCCTGAAAAATAAAATCTCCATTCCCAAAGAAAATATTTTTCTTGCTTTCGAGAAAAATTTGGTCACGTGACCAAAGTAGAAAAACATTTTTCATGTAAAAAAAAAATCAATTAAGCAGCATAAAAATAAGAATTTAGATGAAAAAAAGAAGAAGATATTTTTCATTAAAAATATTGACAATCAAACTCACCCTAAATATTATTAACCTTTATTCATTATCATACTTGTATCTTAACTTTGTTCTTCATAACATTCTTATGTTTAAAATTTTATTAATAAAGAAATTTTGTCGTTAACCATGATTTTCGTCCAAAAATATTGTTAACGTGCTTTAGAATTATGTTAAAAAATATTGTTAACATGCTTTAAAATAAGGGTCAATTATTTAAGCCATGTTTGTCCCCATTAACATTATAATTAATTTCCTCTCACTTCTTGTCAACCACACATTTTCAAATAAAATAATATTACGTGCAATTTCAAAACTTTTTTTTATTTTTAACCACACATTTTTTTTAAAAAAAACACATAATCCCAACCATTAAAATCCCAAATAATGAGGGCCAAACAGGGGCTTAATCGCATTTTTGTATTATTATAAATATGATCATACGTAAATTTTGTGAACATTTCATGCAATTAAAAAATGTAGTCTATTTATTAAAAATTGTGGTGTGAATATGTTTAGCCATTTTTAAAGATTTGGTGGTGAAATTAATCTAGGATACAAAACAATTATTTTAAAAAACCGTTATTTTCATCCACCATTCTTTTATATATATAACTTTTTAGCCTTGTGTAAATATACTTACATGGATAATAATAAAATCAAATAAAATATATCACTCTAAATTCATCAACTAATATTTATCATCATTAAATACTTGTGAACCTTTTATATCTTTTAGACTTTACATTTAATTAAAATCCTAACATTTATGCAATATCTTCTTTAAATTTTCTCTAGCGAAGTCTACATACCATAGCAATACAATGAAATCGACCAACAATAATACAAAGCTATTTTTCTTTTTCTTTTACATAAGAATGGTGAATGAAAGTAGTAGCTTCCTAATATAAAATCGACCTAAATATGTATTTTTCTCATAATTTAAAATACTGCATAGCATCAACCAGCATGATAGTCGTAGCACGAGCTTAGAGCTGTTGACATAAAATAAAAAAAAATCAAATACCCAACTATTTTTTAAGTCCCTACTTGATTTTTCTAAAAAAATTATTTGTTTAAATGTGGCAAATGTCTTCTATTGTTTGACTTTTCCTCTTACATTTAATTCTTACAATGCTAATTGGTTAATTGTGTCAATTGTTAAACATTAACGTCTTTCACAGACCGTTCTGATAAAATTGAATTTGCCTAAGTCTTTAATATAGCTATTCATTTGATTTATTTAATGGAGAAGTGTATATTATGTTAAACAATTCAAAGAGAAAAAGAAAAAG